CCTTATACTAGGTGTTAGACCTGCTGATTGATGCGTTAAGACACAATAACGCTGATGTAAGAACTGCGGCGTGCATTTGCTTTAGAAACGCTGCTCGATCAATCAAGGTTTGTTTACATTATACATTTCGGATGCTGTTAGTTTATTTTCAACTGCTTTGTATCAAGTGGTAAACACAAACCCTGAGACGTATCATTTAGAATTTGAGTGCAGGACTTTTCACGAACGATCATGTTATGCTTCCTTTGGTTCAGCTATTGCATGATCCATCGCCCTCTGTCCAGGTACCGCGTCACATAAGATGCCGCATTTCTTTGACATAGTTTCCAATGTGAATTATTCTTTAGATTCAAATGAATGTATATATGCTGTATATCGTTGACCAGGTTGCAGTTCTTGGTGCTCTGAGCAATATAGTATTGGATTTTTCATCACCTAAGTCAACGTTTATAGAGTATGGAGGGATAAAACAGCTTATTGAGTTGTCGAAATCAATGGATCCAAACGCTCGGTGTAGCGCTTTACGGGCTTTGAGGAACCTCATGTTTTTTGCGGACAGTAAACGTAAAGAACTCTTTTATTCAGACTTCAAGGCTCAAGGATTTGCTTGCCTTATCAGTGGTAAATCATTCTACAAAACCAAAATCGTATGATCCATCTTCATCTTATGCGAAATTTTGTCAAAATAACAACAAACAATCTTGATTTTCTCAGATCCCGAGCCCCCGGTACAAGAACAAACTTTGGCCCTCCTCCGTAATCTTGTTGACGGATGTATCAGCTCCATTGAGTTTGTATTTGATGAAGATGGTCTTATCTTAGATACTGTTGGGAGGCAATTGAGGAAAGCTCCGCAAGCTCAAATGGCTATACAGGTGACAAAAATGAAAAGATAAGCTCCATATCAATATATCAAAACCGCCGATACAAATGTTTTTCTTTCCACAGGGAATGTACGTGCTCACTAATGTAGCAAGTGGTACCGAGTTACATAAAGAAGCGGTTATGCAGCAACTGTTTCCTCAAGGGCAAGCTGATGATACAGGGAATTTCATGCTTAAGTTTTTGCAAAGCGACCAGAGCCAGTTACGGTCAGCAACAGTTTGGACAATCATAAACCTCATTAGTCCTTCAAGTCCCGGTGCACTTGATCGGCATGTGAAATTGCGGGATGCGGGTATCATTCCACAGTTAAAAAACATGGTCAACGACGCTTGCCTCGATGTTAAGGTCATAAAGGAGTAAACTTTTTACCCGTTTAGCTACCTTGTTTACTCTGTTCCTTATTTATTGACTCAACTATGTTCTTTCAATCTCTTTTTACTTTGCAGATTCGGATCAGAACCGTATTAGGCCAGTCTATGTCTTTTGGCGATAATTAGCAAACACGAAGATATATTGTTTTTCCTCAAATCCCACATACACTGAACATATGAGTTAGTGATGTAGCTTTGATTCAAATTTTCAGCATGTAGCAAAAGAGCCTGTGGTTTTTATATGGATCATCGGTTTATCTCTCCAAGTTCCAGACACACACCTATCATTCAACAGGTACTTGCTCTCTCGGGTTTGTTCTTCGTGTTTCTGGTTACTCGAAATGGCTATAACTGAAACTAGAACCGCGTAAATCGAATACTTGATTAGAGCATTTCTGTAAGGATAATAATGTTTTGATGTTTAACAAAACAGTTGTGTTTGATTTTGTGTGTAGGTGAAAGCAGTGAAGATAGAGTTGTACTATTACTTGTGCCACAGTTAGATTAGATCTACCACATTTTGATTTTTCTGCTTTTTTTTTTTGTTTTGAAAACAAAACTTTTAATATTGTTTGTAACATCTCTGAGTTTTGTATCAAAAAAAATTTTTTTTTGTCAACAATACCAATAAATTATAATAATTTTTCGAATTTAATATTTCTTTTTGTCATTTCGACATTGATATAAATAATTACTCTGTAGATGGCCTTTGAGAATCTAGCTCGCCGTTTGTGCACAGTGAATCCTATGTTTTGGATCCCATGACAAGATCCAGCCTCGACGATTGTGTACTCTTTTGCTTTTTAGATATTTAGGTTTTTCATATAGTTTTATTTTTTTCGCTAAACAGGTTTTTCATATAGTTTCATATATAAATATTTCACCCGTGTAAAATTAAATAGTTTGTATAATTATAATTATATACAGATTTTGAGAAAAATTGTTGACAGAATCTCAACGAAACCCAATAGGGTTAGTTGGTTAAAAGTAAACTAAAAGATTAGTGTTAGTTGGAGTGTCGAAACCCCATGC